TTTCCAAGAAGGGTATATTATATTAAGGTTTCATAAGGGTCGGCGACTTGCACGTGACAACTCTTGTGTTTCAGACGGCAACACCTTACGGTAACAGTTTACCTTCAGACAGCACGTATGCTTGTTTGCTATCATCGTAATAAATAAAAAAAGATAATGTTTAAAAGAAGGTAAACTGTCTGGAGATTGTTGGATATTGATATGAATTTAAGAGCACGCTGTTTTTTAATATTAAAATGTATTTCCGAAAATTCCTAATCGTCTGTCGTTTTTGTTGTATTAATCAATCAGTTGTTCTGTCTGTCCCAGTTATTATCTTTTATGCGCCCAGCGAGCACTCCTGTCAAAGAGGCCGAGAAGGCATGGAATATAAATATAGATAAAAGAGTAAACGTTTCATTTTTATAATAAACTGCCAGAATCTGCACTAAATCTGCAATAGAAGACGACAACATATCAAGTAAATAACTAGAATATAAATGTAGATTGATTTTAAAATATGAGTAAACGTTTCATTTTTTTTTCTCAGTAGTGTTATGTCTTTGGGTACTAAGAAATTATGGACTCGTGTAAGATGATGATAACCATAAAGGGTGTAAATTATGATTTGACGGCCGATCAGTTAAAGAGGTAGGGTAAAAAAACCTCAAATAGAAAAATAACGATTATTGCCGCAACTCTATTATAAATTATATATTTTGTGTATAGCTTTGCATATTATGTCATCCATTTGCAACATCATCACTGCCAAAAGAAGTATCTCGGCTGTACCTACTTATTTGTCTTTGTTACGCTCTATTTTCACCAGATTTTTTGAGACTTAGGTGAATATTTCTGTAATCGATGTTAAATGATTTGCATTCTTCCATTTCGACGGCATTTTAAGGTCAAAATAGACTTACGTGATTTCCTTATGGAAGTATATTTATGATTAAAATTTGAAGTCCATACAAGAGTGTGACATGAACGCGGCTCATAAATTATGAATGAAAACATAGATATAGGTGTTAGAAAATGTGAGCATGTGTGCAAAATGTTGCTATTTTATTATTACAGTTAACAATATTTTAATTGCCTTCCTAGATTGATGTGTCTTTAAAACTGTAATATAATATAAAAGATTTCTTCAAATAGTGTAAAATGTCGTCCGTCCAAACATACAATATACAATATAGTTAGCTGATGACATATAGTAGACTACATTTTATTTTAATTGATTGGGGCAAAACTTCTAGATTTTTTTACAGAAATTTAATAGTAATTTCTATTACCAACCCCTATATTTTTATAGCGTTATTATTTTATATGATTTATTATTTTATTATAGATTATTTTATACATTGAGTTTGAATGTAGTGATATTAACAATAGATTTTCAAGTTGCCATAAGAAATGTCATTAATAATAAAATAATTTTACAAATCGTCGATTGAGTACAGGCATTTCTCTAATAGCAGTGATTTAATTTTTTTGGTAAACCAACTTAATTTATTTAATATTTTTAAGTTTTTTCGGCAATTTATTGTAAAGTTTCACCGCTTTGCTTGGACAGTGTATCACTATATTTAGTGTAGGAATTATTACTTTATGTAGACCCATTCTCCTTGTTTACAAACGTTGATGCATATTCCCCGCAGATTGCTATAGGTGTTTGTTTTTAATTAAATCTGTCAGTAAAACATGAACATAAAGAGTAGGCATAGTAAGAATTTTCAATCATTCAAAACGCTTTTTACCTAATTCCCATGGTGGAATGCAAACTATATAATAATAAATTCTAGGTCTTTATATCTATAAATCAAGTGATAATACCAATAAATAAACCACGATAGACTCGTTGCTAGTTTAAAAAAAGCAGCTACTTTCGTTTCCCGATCATTTTCCACTTCACTCTTATTGCGTAACCCAATTTCCCGCGTCTCCCTCCCCCGACCTTCCCCCACTCCCCCCTCGTTGCGCACACGCACCGTTCGCATTGACATTCGCCGCGCGGGGGTCGTCGACCTCGTCGCACTTTCACTCGATCAGTACACCCCCCCTTTCCTGTTACATAACTTGGGGAAGTAATGTAACGGTGACGCGTGCGCAGCCTGGTACACTATGCGACATTATTTAGTAATCGAATTAGAATAGGTGATAAGTCAGGTACAGTAGGACACATTATTTTGGTTACTGATTTACAAGGTCCTTATTTCTAGTTTTTTTTTAATATGGAATGCCAATCAAGATGATCCTTTTAACATCTATGTACATCACATTATCATATGACCGTGATACTATTTATGCGGGCAACGCAAGAGTAGAATCATGGGTGTCACATTCCGTTTATTCCATTAAACTTATTACCAAATTTGAATATAATACTATTACATTGATCTTTACTTTCCGTTGTATTTTTGTTTTAATGAATATACATATGTCATATATTAAATGCGTTACACTAATGTGGTATTGAAAATAATTTTTATCACTACCCCTACGTGTAAGTGTGGTAAAACTGAAGTACAGTTGAGAAGACTTGGCAAGAAACTCACTTGTTACTGGTAACCTTTTATCTTATTATATTATTATTTGTGTTAAATCAGTTTCAATCTTTAAATAGCAACATGGCATTAAAATAGTATATTAATCAAATCAAATAAAAAATCATTTATCAAGTCAAGTTTTTCGTTTCAATATTTTTTTCCTTACCGTTGAAGAAGAATAAGATATATTTTAAATATACCTATATAACTCAAAGGTGACTGACGTAGTGATCTATCAACACACAGCTCAAACTACTGGACGGATCGGGCTGAAATTTGGCATGCAGGTAGATGTTACGACGTAGGCATCCGCTAAGAAAGGATTTTTATTAATTCTACCCCCAAGGGGATAAAATAGGGGATGAAACTTTGTATGAAACTTTGTCAATTTTAAACTGATCGGGCTGAGACTATAAGCATGCATAAAGCTACTATGACTTAGGCATCCCCTAAGAAAGGATTTTGATAAATTCCACCCCAAAGGGGATAAATTACCGCGAGCGAAGCCGCGGGCAAAAGCTAGTGTCTAATATATTTAAAAATGTCCGAACAACAAAGTTCACTAATGAAGTATATAATAATGATAATGACGTTTGATACCAGAATGAATTACACTATTACACCTTAACAGTCAAGTGATGTAAGGTGAAAAGCGATAAGGAAACATTTACGTAAGCCGGCGGGCCTTGAACCTCGGAACCTGCAGCGAGGAAAATGCAACGCAACGCAACGCGATCTGTACCAATTATCGCATAGGAAACTACCGCAGTGATTATACGTTGGTATCCAGTTCCAAGGAAACAAATTATCTATGTGAATTGATATTAATTAAACTCGTAATTTATGGGTTTATAATGTAGACCTTATGATAATTATGACAAGGTTATATTTAAAACTAGTGTAGGAAAAATATGATGTGCATAGGCCGAAAGGTCCTATTTGATCATGGCCTCGGTGGTATAGCAGTTTAGCGCACCATTTAGCTTCCGATGGTCGCGGGTTCGATTTCTCGCATGGTAAATACATTTGTATTTATGAGTATGATATTTTGTATCGGTTTGGCTGTTTTCTGTGAATATTTTATTTATACAACTATGTATATATTGGTGGCAAACAGCCATATGGCCTATCTGATGATAATGGTTATGATCTTATGAGAAACCTTAACATACCCTTCTTGGAAATCCCTATGGTGTACTCTCGCGAGAAAACTTTGTCAGGCATTCCACAATCTAAGTGTACGCGAGAGAAAACTCTGTCAGTTGTTTAGTACCCACAACACAAGCTCTGCTTAGTTTGGATCTAGATGGCGCTGTGTAAATTGTCCTGAGATAGAATAGGAAACTGTACAATATCGTCTGCCTCTATCGTACGTAATTCTTCTGCTAGTAGTTTGATTTCTAAGATGCAATTGTTTCAAAGCAAATGATATGGCAGTACTATAGGCCTAAGAATTTAGTCCTCAAGAATGGCAATGTATGAGTGGTATTATAACATTTTGTACTGTTTATTGTTATAGACAATAGTTACCACTCCACCAGGTGGGCAGCCTGTTTACCATTCCCAATAGAAAAAAACATACGAGAAATATAGGTAATGTAGTGTACATTTGTCTATACTTACGTATAAACTTTTCGTAAAAATATGAAATAATAATTATAGATTTGTAAAATAGTTTAAAATGTAACAACAATATTTTAGCAGTGCAGATTTCTTCTAGCAGATCCTATTGCTTATCTAATAAATCTTACTTATAAGTTCGGTATATTCCCAAATATTTTTAAAAGTGCATTTTATAGTTAAGTACTTAAGATAATAAGTGTTTGCAAGTGTTTGAAAGTAAATTTGTATCTGTTGTCAAAATAAATATTAGGATATTAAGTACTCACCGGTATTGTTGGATAACCGTAGGTAATATAAGAAACCTTTTAGAAAACTCAAACAAACCACTTTCACCGATAGTGCAAAGAACCGCAACTTATACAGCCAAGCCAAGGGACTGTCTTCTAGAACTATTTACATTTAATTAATCACTATTAATGTGTAATACTGGTAGAGCTCATTGCACTATGAGAAACAAATATATATTTTTTTATTGGGGTTTTGGGCTATTTTCTGGTACTAAGACCTGTAACACTGCTATCTGCAAATATCCATTGTCGCCCTTTTTCAAAGTTCGCTACCTAGACCCGTGAGGGACAAGAATTGAAGGATATTTTTAGGAGCGATGGTTTTTAGCACAAATTATTTACAGTATATATATTTTCCAAAGAAGATATTTCATTTAGGATGTTTAGTGGTGTTTCCTCTTTTGTTTGGTCAAATCTATGATTGTTGTTAAGCTAAGGTCTGAATTCGCTATGTTTATTCAATTTGCAGTGTCCAGTGAGGGCCCTAGTCATGATTTAATGTTTTTTTTAATAATAATAAAATTTATTTGCATCTTTTAAACATTACTAACAATCCTATCTCCCCACATTCACAGACCGTATGAAACAGCTAGCGAGTGATCTGGTGAGATCACAGTTCAAGGCTCGGGCGGATTACATAAGCATTTCTCTTGCATCAGGGTCGGTGACTCGCTTCGCTTTATATGGATTGGTTCCTTGTTGATCTGACCAATACTTAGATCATTTACTGTTTGTGCTATAATTTCTTGATGGATCTATAAATCACACATTGACTTGAGTGTGTGTGACACATCAAACATTTCCAGATTTCGCAGAAACACTACAGTTGTAACATTTGACGTAACTGACTGAAGTAACTACTACTATTATTTTATTAAATTTTTATAAAATTTTCGTAAACAAAGTCGTGGGTAAATTGTTTATATTTATGAATCTAAAAATGTATTACCTCTTTTTTCTTTTTTCTTTATTCATATTCATATATCATTCTGGCAAGAAAAAGGTAATAAGTGAACAAACGGACAAAGAAATATTGAGTTTTAATTCGAATCAAATTTATTTGCGATAAACATAAGGTATACATTTCTAGATAAAAAATGAAATCAGTGTAGGTAAATGCATTGCATTACCAAGCTCAACGTTCAAGGCGCAGAATATTACATAATCATTTCGCTTACGTGAAGGGTCGCTGACCTGCGGTTCTTCACGCCTCTTTATTTGAATCCTTATGAGATAACCTTGACAGATGAGAGTTTACCTAAATCGGAAAAAAATAAGGTATATATTATATAAGTTTTAGACATATAACTGACGCACATTTAGGCATTATGAAGAGGAAAATATGTAGTAGGTTTTATTTTTAGCGTATTGCTATTAATTTCATCATATACTGTAACTCGCGACTTTGTCTGTTCTTTATATTTCATAGCCTATTTTCCCCTTCTAGATTATAAGATAATCTATATTCGACTTCATAGTACAGTTTATCTTTATATCAAATTGCATTACTGGAATGGTATAAAGTGGCAACCATCGGCTATACATGAACAGTACCATGTGATCTGACCACTTATATGTTGGTGGTACCACTCATATATTGTTTTTTTTTTTCATTATTTAAGGCTTCAAAATGGCAACATATGTGTACTATACTAGCCATTCCATCCAGAACTGAGGTCATGTCTCTGTACCATGTAATTTCACTGGCATATCTCATCCTTCAAACGAAATACTGCTTTCACAGCAAAACAAGCGGCAGAATTTTTTGAAACAGAGGTTGTACTGACTTTTTGTTTGACTTTGTACAAAACCTACATAGTTCTATACATGGTATTTAAAATGCGTGTAAGTACTATAATGGCGACCTCGACATCTAGCGGTTTAGCACATTTACGTCCGATGTTTGCGGGTTCGATTTCTCGAACGGTACAAATATTTGTATTTTTGAGTATGATAGTTTGTATCGGTCTGGGTGTTTTCTATGTTTTCTAGGTATTTTTAAAATAAAAATTTAAATATTTATGTCAGTTGTCTAGTATCTATCCATAACACAAGCTCTGCTTACCTTGGTACTAGATGACAGTGTGTGAATTGTCCCGAGATATTGTTGTTATTAATATTATTATTATAATATACTATACATATATACTCTATAGTGGGAGATTAATTACATGATTGTTACATGTAACAATTTGTTTACAATTTGCGATAAACAAAGAAAGGTCTGACATTACGTCAGCCGGGTCGTCGGCCGCTGCGCAGGCGCAGTCGTGTAATATAGGTATGTGGTATAACAAAGAGAGATGGATGAAAGTAGGGTATTTTTTTAGTTCAAAAATGGAATAACATTTTTTTATAACTTTTGCTTTGTGTGTTATTTTTTTATGTTATTTGCTGAGTTGTTGGAGTTCAGAACGAATAGTTTGTTATTATTTCTCTATGTAAATTTATTGGAATAAAACAGACGCTATATTTTAAGTGAAGCTTACCCCAATAATTAGTGAAAACTGTAATCTAATCGGTCAAGCCATTTTTGATATTAGTGTGCATAATCGAATAGACCAACAGACAATTACTAAACAAAAATAACTTGCCGCTAATGTTGTTGCCCATAAATAAAAAATCTTAAAGGAATTTGGAACACATAATAATTATTTGTTATTATTATTGTATTATATGTAATAGGAAACAAGTTGATACTTATTTATGACCACTTATTTTTGTTTCCAGGATATCGTAGGAGCCAAAGAGGGAACAAATTGCTGCCATTGAAACTACTGAAAATAACTGACCATACCGAAAACGAATTCAGTCAAAAAGATTGAGCAAGAAACGTACTATGTCAGGTAGACCCTGAGGATGGAATATGACAATCGTAGCCTATCTATGTATAACACGACAGACATTACCTACTTCATCAAGTGGCCTTTGAAACGTCATGGACGCGCTGTACTCTCATGTTTGCCATTCTTGAGGACTATGTAATGCCCCCGTAGTATCCATAAATGAATTCCTCCAGTTTATAATTTTATCAAACTATATTAGGTCGACCCTGAGGATGAATATGCTAATCATAACCTATTTACTCGTATATATAGAGCACAACAGACATCATGTGATGCTTTTGAAACATCATGGACGCATGTGTACTCTCATGTTTTGCTATTCTTGGGGACTCAGATGTAATGCGCCCGTACAATTCAATAAATGAATTACTCCAGTCTTCACTTCATCAGTCGTTAAGTAATTCAGTATAAAAACCGTAAACTACGCAAACCGTTTTTTCGGAATCAAACGTCGACCTTCTTTGGACATTCGGTCGATCACCTTGTCAGAATGATTGTAATGGAATAAAAGCGTTGTTTTACATCTTTACTGTTATTATAAAAATATAAAGTTTGTGAGTTTGGATGTTTGGGGTAATCTCCGGTATACTAATCCTAGTTTGAAAATTCGTTATTTTAATAAAGATTATTTCTATTTCTACATGAGAATTCGTTTACAGAATCCAATACCTAATATATATTAGCATTTTGTAGTTTTCATACCAATGTTTATGATGATTATTTCAAACAACGGATACACGTGCAATGCGTAAGATATTTGTTTGTTGCTCACATAATACTGTTCTTTTAGAAGTATAGTTAGCCATATACAAATATATTTAAAAAAATGTTTATACTATAGGCCTATGTGCCGTCAAACATCCGCTAGTTATCTATGCGGCATGCGTGTAGTGTCACTTTCGCGCATGCGCCGATCACTTGCTCATGCGATCCGCGCGCCCTCTGTTTGGTGAAACTGCGAAAATGTTTACACTTTCTGACCGGATACGGATGCGAAAATACACTGAGAAAAACGGTGTTAGATAATATGAGGGCGATGAACTTGAGTTGGCATTCATGGTTTATGGTCAGGGATTTTTTTTTACTCTATATTTCAATTCTTAAAAGTTAAATGGCAAGGAATAATACTATCAATATTAACTTTGCCTTTTGTGTCACATTTTATTGCTCAAATAAATACCTATTTATAAATATGTATATGTCAGAATTATGGAAATATTTTTATAAAGTATTTTATCAGTTGTCTAGTACCCATAACACAGGCTCTGTTTACTGTGGGACTAGATGACGCTATGTTAATTTTCCAGGGTATTCATTTATTTATTTTATTTCTGTACACGATCAATTATATCAATTACGTGAACGGTAGCAGGTTCGTTTCCTCGCGTGGTCATATTTCCGAGGTTCAAGGCCCGATAATTGGTTGTTATGCAAAAGTTCGCTTCCTACACACGACTGCCAACTACAAAGATATGTGTTCGTGCGATTTAGTTTGTTTTGTTGTTATATAAGTGTAGGATGGAAATCAATCAATCATTACCATTCACCACCTATGCAATATACTGACTAGTTGCCTGAGATTTTTTTTTAATTTTGCATTATTTTAAAAATATTGAAATTATCTTTCTATTTGTATCTATACGGTGTAAACATTTGTATTGTGAGTATGAGTAACACTTTGTATCGATCTGGGTATTTTCTATAATAATAATAATAATCTCAGGACAATTCACACAGTGCCATCTAGACCCAAGTTAAGTTAGCTAAAGCTTGTGTTATGGGTACTGGATAACTGATACATATACATAGATATTTTTTTTGTAAATACATATATTTTATACTTAGAAAACACCCAGACCAATACAAACAATCATACTCCTGAATACAAATGTTTGTGACGTGCGAGGAATCGAACCACCACCGAGGTCGTCATGTATATTATATATGATTTACAAAAAAATCTAAGTATTTATATCAATTGTCTAGTATTACACAAGGTTACAGTGGGACTAGATGATGCTATGTTAATTGCCCAGGGTTATTTATTTATATTTATTATACATGTATTTACAAAAAATTTTTAGTTGTCTAGTACCCATAACACAAGCACTGCTTAGCGTTGCACTAAATTGCGTTATATTATAGGTAGGATAATATTAGTATATGCTAATTCTAAAAATTATATTATTATCAAACAGTTTTATTATTTTCATTGGAAAAAGGGAGAAACGAGCCAATTGGGGCACACAAAGCATAAATAAATAAAGTAGAGTGAAGAAGAGAGACTTCGGATGCGTGAACTTTATCTTTTTCTATTAAAATAAATAAATTTCTGAAATAAATGTATTAAAATTGTTTAAATTGGTCCACCCATTTCAGAGATAAAGATAAAACAGACAGAGAAAAAATTACAATTATCTCTTGGTGTATGTACTGTATATTCATATGCATTTAGTGTAAAGCTATAAATTTGGAATACAAACAGACATTAAAATTACATTTATTTGTATAGATGTCATGTTATAGATAATTGGACCTTATGTCACGTGACTCAAGGTGACTCACAGAAAAAAGTTGACATTATCAGTAATGGTACTGACGTCAGGGTAAAGCCGGTAATGTCGCGTCAGCGCATTCGCGGACTCGACTTTTTATTTCTATTCTTGACGTCATCAAACCGAATGACGTCACGATATACATACCTGTACTGATAATTATCATCTGTTACTAAAATAAAGTATGAGTTTATTTATTCTTTATATTATACTAGCTACTCGCCCCGGCTTCGCACGGGTGTACATGTATTATATGTATATATAAATCTTCCTCTCGAATCATTCTATCTATTTAAAAAAAACCGTTTCAAAATCCGTTGCGTTATTTTAAAGGTTTAAGCATACATAGGGACAGACAGCGCAGCGACAGCTATTTTGTTTTATACTATGTAATGACTAGCTACCTGCCCGGCTTTGCTCGGGTGTACATATATTACACATATACTTTTGAATCATTCTTCTGTTGCTGAAACCTTCGTTGCGTAGTTTTAAAGATCTAAACGAACAGACAGCAGAAGCGACTTCGTTACATAGTATAATGTAAGGATTAAATATTTTAAAAATTAATACAAATTTTATTATACCTTATTAATACATATTATATAGGCTATAGATGTGATTTTTGAATGGTTGTAATGGATAAACAAAAAAAAAATACTTATAAGATAAAAATAACTACCTATGTAATAATAATAATTCATCACAATTTGTTCAGCACCATCTAGTCCTACACTAAGTATTTTGTTAGAAACATTTTGATATATATTTTTTTCTAATTACATAGAAAAACACCTAGACCGATACAAACAATCATACTCATTAATACCAATGTTAATTTGTATATCATGTAAGGAATAACCTTCAATTCCTGTCCTCGACAGGTCTAGGTATCTAATTTTGAATAAGGGCGAGCATAGTAGATCTATGTAGGTCGCAGTGCTACAGCTCTAAAGCATCTGACATTGCCTAAACCTCTCAATAAAAAAAAAGGACTCAAACCTGAGACCATCCGAAGTAAGGCAGTGTGGTAACCGTTGTTAAAATATAAATATAAAGCTTTTAAATATAAATATTAAACTATTATTAGAAAATATGTGTCTATACATAATAAAATGTTTACAAAATTACGTATAACCTCTTTTAGAGGTCATAATTGTTGTATAATAACTTGCTTGAGTTGAAACCTATTTCTTTTTGTGTTTTATTTTTAATCATATTATTTTTAATTTCAAAATATGAAAATACATTTATATTTATGACTGTTGTCCACAAAACAAACTATTAATTTGTATAAATAGATTTTAATAAATAATAACAAAATACGGTCAATATATAAAAATTGATTTCAAAAATACAGTTGGTTTGTAGTTTTCCGTTTGTATATAAGTAGGTTCTACCGTATGATTTAATCTTAGATACACAGTTAATAGTCAATGGTGGTTATTTACAAGGAAAGTCTATCCTACTTTTTTTAACTTGGGGAAAATCCTCATGGACGCCCCGGGGGATGGGTTCTGGTTTTTGTGTCTAAAGTCCACCTGCCTTGATAACTCTGGTTTTTTTAACCCTGACCAATGATTATTTCAAAGTCGTAAACATTTATTCACAGTGGATATTTTTTAACATTATTGCATTTCACGTATGTTGGAGATTAAAACCTCCTTGTTAATACTTTTTTATAGCCATATACTTTTAAATGTTTCTGTCACTGTTCTTCTTTTGCTTCTTCAATGAAATTCATCTTTTCACAATATACGGAAGCAAATTATTTTCATTTATCCACAATTACCTAGTTTTATTACAATCACCATAATAACCAACTGAGAAATCCATAACACTCCCCAACAACGTATTTTTTTTTATTAATTTAAAGCTTTTCGTCCAAATGCTATGAGATCAAATTAATATCTCAGGTTAATTCGCCCAGCCATCTAGTAGTACCAAGCTAAGCAGAGCTTATGTTAAGTGTATTAAACAACTCATGAATACGTAGATACCAGCTAACATACATAGAAAATATAAAAATAATAAAATATACATAGAAAACAGCCAGACCGATACAAACAATCGGATTCATGAATACAAATGTTCGTACCGTGAATCGAACTCGCGACCTTCGGAAGTAATACGGTGTGACAAATCGCTAGATCAACAAAAATAAAAAAAGATTAAAGATTAAAAAGATTATGGAAGAACTGAAGAAATGCTAAATGATAACTAAGACGTATCTCCAACATGAACACTGCCTTCATTTGTATAAAGTAAAAGTCCATGTCTATTCTTAAACGTAATTAACTATATATAAATAATCAATACTTGATGACTAAAGTTGCTTACTAACTAAAATACAAGCACGTCATGGAGAAAGCATTAGTCAGTCGATGACGTCATCGCCGCCCCTCGCACGAATTCCCATTTTTGATTGAGTCACTTTCAGAAACTGAATTTTAATGAATGAATGTATAAGATATATATATGTATATATATAGAAATAAGCTGTGCGCGCGACTTCGTCCGTGTAAAATAAACGACGAAAGAGAGATGTCCATTTCATCCCCTATTTAAGGGTAATTTTTTTATAAACTTTGAATGTCATGATTACTTCTATTTATTCAACAGCCCAAAAAATAAGATTCTTCTACATTTTGAAATGGCGATACTTCCATACATATTTTCATCTCCCCTTTCGATCCCTTACAATCCTTTTTTCGCATTAAAAATTAGCCTATGTCCTTTTTCAGGCACTAGACTATATGTGTACTAAATTTTATTTAAATTAGTTCAGCAGTTTTGACGTGAAAGCGGGACAAACAGACTTCGTCCGCGTCCACTAAATAAACGACGAATTATAAATGTCCATTTATACATGAGAGATTACCCGATATTTATATTTTGTGACGTCTGTGATTATAATAAAAGGCAACGATTATTTCTATAAATGAGGTGGACAACTTTTTGTAATTTTTTTAATGTGCTAATTTAAAGAGGATGAGGTCATGGTAAATAATAAATAACCCAGGACAATTAACGCAGCGCCATGTAGTCCCACAGTAAGCAGAGCTTGTGTTATTCTGATATGAATACTTAGATTTTTTGTAAATACATACATAATATATAGCAAACACTCAGATCGATTCAAACAATCATACACATGAATACAAATGTTTATACCTCATTTTTCGCATTAAAAACTTCAGCACGTGGAGGTCGTTTTGATGTCCTTTTTCATCATTATCTAATCCATCATAATCATCTATTGATTTTGCTACTACAATTAG